CCTTAGAATATACTTTCCAAAAACAGCGACCAAGAGGAATTTAGAGCAAATACGTAACACAGGTAGAATATACATTCATCATATCAGTCTAGATCTAGACCTAAACGAACAAACAAACTAGATTAGACCTAATAAAAAAAATTGAATCCAACAAAACCATTCCCAAACTAATCCAATTTAAACATTCTTACTTCAATATTACACTTTTATAATTACACAATTCAGTGAAGTTAAATGTTACTCCCTCCGTCTTATTTATCTGTCTTACTTTATTTTTTTGGTTGTCTCCAAATAATGTCACATTTTCTTTGTTTGGAAAAAAATATGTAATTTACATTAGGGGTGGGCATAACGGTTTGGTGTAACCGAACCGTACCAAACCGAACTAATTTAAACCGAACCGAAACTGAACCGTATGCAATTTGGTTTGAGTTTGGTACTATTTCTTTCAAACCGTATTAAACCGAACCGAACTGAAACTGATAAAACTCAAAAGCGAACCGAACTAAAGAAACCGAACCGAACTAAAGAAACTCAAAAAAACTTTCATATATTATCAAAATTGGTGGTTTGATTTGGTTTGGTTGGGGTTTACTGTTTACTTAAGTAAACTGTTTGGTAAATATTTGCTCAAACCGAATGTTTGCCTCTTATATGTGTGCAGTATGGAGATTGTAAGTTTGGTTGTACCAGTGAAATACGACAATGTGTTTGTCCATTATATGTATACATTATAGAGGTTGTAGGTTTAGTGACTTGGTGATTTAGAGTGAAACATTACTGCCCAAACTCGTAAGCCCTCACCCACTTCTATTAACCATTTAAATCATTGCTATTTTGCTCATTGTACACATGTAAATCACTACTTATATTTTATTTATGTTAGCACATTGCTTGTACACCATTGCTATTTTACACACAACACCAAAAAACTCTATTTTGATTTTATTGCTTTGTTTTAGTTTATTTGGTTTGGATTCAAACTAAAATAAACCATTTCAAATTAATAAATGTTGACTTAAAAATATGAAATTATACATTATTTTTTAACTTTATAAACCGAACATTAAACCGAACCGAAAATTTCTCGAACCAAACCGAAATACATTTTTCGCCAAACCGAACAACTTGAAACCGAACCGAACAATTTGAAACCGAACCGAACCCGATAAAAACCGAACCGTAAACCGATTTGCCCAACCCTAATTTACATCAATATATCATTTCAATATATTATTCTATTTATTCAAATCTCATTCATAACTTTTAGTTTTTGAACCACTTTATTAATCTGGTACAATAACTAATTTATTAATAATTTTGTCAAATCAGATATATAAAAGGGAAAATGGAAACTAATAATCCAGCCTTTTAACGGTCTTCTTACAATATTTCAACCTTTTGGTTATTCATGAATAATCCAACCTTTGCACCTCATATTCATTCACTGGTCCCTGACCGGTTGATGACCTGCTATTCCAAGATATTTTCTTATCTTTGCAAATCATTATACCATAAATCTCATCTTTCACAAAGATAATATTTTGCAAAGATAAGAAAATAACTTGGAATAGTAGGTCATTAACCGACCAGGGACCAATGAATGAAGATGAGGTGCAAAGGTTGAATTATTCATGAATAATAAAAAAATGGGATTATTGAAAAAAGACCGTTAAAAGGTTGGATTATGACTTTCCATTTTCCCTATATAAAATGGAAGGGAGTGAGGAGGTACTAATACAAAAGTGACCCATGATGCCAAAAAGGGTACGTTAATAAATGGGGTTCAATACTAAATTTCATCCGTATAACGGTATACACTTTTTTGAATAAAAACAAGCAAATTATATTTCTATTATACCTTACGGAGGAGTTGGAGAATCGTTTTGAAGGCTGATGATATTGGCGTATGAAGTGAAGGTCGCCGCCGGGACAGAACTCCATCAACAAGCATGAACGGTTCGGAGAATCAATGGCGGCGTAGAGCGTGGGAAGGAACGGGTGGTTCATCGTCTCCAGAATTTCCCGCTCCGTCCTCGTCTGTCTCTCCTTGTCACGCCTTACCATTTCCTTCTTGTCTATCACCTTCGCCGCGAACAGCGTCCCCGCCGCGCTTTTCAATTCCACGAGATAGACCGAGCCGATGTCACCGGAGCCGAGCCGCTTTATGAACCGGAGATCGGATAGGGAAAGCGCGGTAGAGCGGCTGGCGGCGGTGATGGCTGACAAGCAGGAGTCGTGATCAGGATGGTGGGTGGCATGATGATGCAGTGGAGGGAAGTGTGAGAAGAATGAGGATGACGACGTCGTGTCGGAGTCGGAGCTGGTGGTGCGGTAAATGTCTGTGCCGGAGGACAAACTTATACTTCTCTGGAGCCCGGAGGCGACACCCACTGAGTGCTTCATGATTAGGTTGGATTTTTTCAAGGATGAATATAATTAAGCTATAAATAGAGATCACAGAAAAATCCAAAATAAGATACTACACTAGGTAGATAATTCCCAAATTAGGAGTAAGACATGATCAAATGACAAATATGAATAGTAATTTGAATATTCCCATAATAGGAGCTTTTTTAGGGATTGGACAAAAATACCCTTATGGGTAACCAGCCCAATGTTGTCCAATGCCATCGGCCTCCGCGGCCAGCTACGCCCGACAATGCTATTGAGTCCGGATTCGTGCCTCTGATCTATGGTCGTTGCCGAAGTTCCGGTGGTGCCAAAAAAATCTAGAAATTTTTCCCTGTCTGCTTGCCACCCGCCTCCAGATCACTCTAGTTGCCACAGCTCCGCCACCTCCAACACCGTTGGACTGTCCCACCACCAAAAGATTGACCCAGTTGTCCAAGAAAACTATAGCGAAAATTAATTAATTAACTAATTAATTAATTAGAATAGGGGTATGTATTAGGTGTCGAGAATTAATGTTTAGTCTTGTTTAGGAAAGATTAATTAGGGGTGAGCTTCTATTTAGGGGGAAATGTTACTACATACGGAGTATGTTTTATCCATATTAAGGCCAATTGCTTAAATAAGATTTGCCACTATTGTTTTATTCCTAAAAAGACCAATTAATTTTTGTAGAGCTTGTTTCTCAACTTAATAGGTTTATTAAATATCTAATTTTTTCAAAATAAGTAAGGAGGAAGTTATTTTCTAACTCAATTGAGTGAAGTTATCATGGAAGACCATTTTGACTATTTTCATATCTTTTTCTTAATTTTATTAATAAAGAATATTTTTCATTAGGCTTTTTCTTGATTCGGCTGATTTAGTCAATTCAATTTGATAGGTTTCAGCCAATTCAATCAATTTCACTGTTATTTATCGAAGTCGTGGGTTACACCCATTTTTACTCTTTTATTAAAATTTAACCAACTTATTTTGGAAAAAAACACAATAAATAATTCTCCATAATTGATAAAAATTATGTGTATCTCCTTTTTGAACTTAAATGGTATTCCTCTAATGCGGCCTCGGTCTATAAATACATATTTAATTGCGATTTACCTAATCTATATATCTATATATATATAATAACAAAATAGTGGGAAGTAACTTTTGGGCGGGAACACTGTAGCTAGCTTTTTTTTATTGTTTGGTTAATTAATTAATTATTTAATCAATCTTGGGCGACGAATTCGATTTTGAAAACCTGAGCGGCATATGCTGCACAAATTACTAAGAGACTAATGTGGTTAACAACCATTAATTACAGTGTCTTTTATGATTCCTAATAATGAACAGTTTTTTTAAAACATAATAATCAGCTTTTATAAAATCTGTTAATAATAAATAGGATCAATTTTCGAGTGCCTCTTGAAATTCCCGATAGCAATTATTGTCTTCAAACTGGATGCCACTATATATGTATTGAGTTAGGAGTGCGGGTAATCCTTATCAAGGTAGTATCGATGTAAGACACCCGGGCACAACTGCACATACGGATATACGGAGTACGAAGTACTTGATATGAGAAGAAAACCATTATCCTTGGAAGAATTCTAATGGTACACTCTTGCTTTTTAATTTACCATATTAGTGTTAAATTTTACGAACTCAAATATGTACTACTATTCATTTTCCAAAATTCAGTTTGCCTAAAGAAATGTTTGCATCTGCTTTAGTTTCTTGCCTTTTAACACCAAATTTAGATGGAACTAAAATTAGTTTCTTTTTGTGAATTGTGTAGCTAGAAAATCAACCTTTTTTGTGAACTAAAATTTAGAGATTGTTTACTGAGGTTGAATCACTACAAAAAAACACGGAGTTAGTCACGGATTTAGTCACGGACCGTAGTATAAAAAATCCGTGACTAACTTTGCTAGTCACGGACTTTGTCCGTGACTAAATCCGTGACTGTTTGGGCGTGACTAATTCTAGTCACGGTCATTTTATCCGTGACTTAGCGTAGTCACGGCTTAGTCACGGAAACGGTCCGTGACTAACTTGTCACCGGAATAACCACACCGGCGACTTAGTCACGGCCCTTTCCGTGACTAAATATAGTCACGGACTAATCCGTGACTACACTTTCAAATTTAAAAAAATGAACCGCCAAATGTTACGGTTTAAATTTTCAAATTTCAAAATTTAGTCACGGACTTGATCCGTGACTACTTTTTTATTTTTTTAAAAAAAATTAAATTTGCAAAATAACTTTTTAAAAAATCGGTCTAGAATTTAGTCACGGCTCGGATCCGTGACTAAAGTTTTTTATTTTTTAAAAAAAAGTTTTTTTGTTTTATAAAAAAAATAAATTTATTTTTAATTATTCTTTAGAAAAGTTTATTTTAAAAAATATTTGTAGAATAAAAGTAATAAACAGACTACTAGAACACACATTTCATAACCAAACAGACTGAAATAAAAGTAATAATAAGCACAATAGAATTATAGTAAATAAACAATGTTCAAATAAAAATGTATATCATTTACAAGCTCCTCCGGTTACCATTATGATAATATCTAGAATCATCATATAGATAATCTTTTTCGGTCTCATCTTCTCGGTTGTCTCCAGCTTGGCCTTCTCGATTGCCACCGCGACTGCCTCCTCCGCGACTGCCACCTCCGCGACTGCCACCTGCTTGGCTGCCTCCAGATGTTTGAAACAGGTTGTGAAAATTGATATCCTGAATAGAACCAAATGAAGGCAACCCGGTAGCAGAGTTGGTACGGAAATAACCGCCCATATGAACTTGAGGTGTCTGCTCAGGCTGCAGTACATACGGCTGAGGCTGATGCTGATTCTGAATTCCGGCGCTGAGGATCCATTCCATCTCTTCCAGCCGGGCCCTTGTTTCTTCTTCTTTTTTGCGTTGCTCCTCCAAGGTGCGCTGCTGCTCAGCCAAGGCCCGCTGCTGCTCCTCCATCTCCCGCTGCATTTGAGCGATACGCGGATCCTCTCCGCGCCTTGATCGGGAAGATGAAGCACCGCTGCGGTCGTACAAGATCCGTTGCCCCTCAGCCCCCATGCACGGGACCCGGCCCTTGTACACCCCAACTGCCTCAAAGATGGCATCATCCTCCACATCAGAATCAATCTCATCCTCCTGAGTCAAGCCTAATTCTGCCCGCCTCTTCTCAACATTTGTGTTATACTTTGACTACATGTACAAAAATTGTTAATTTAATGTTACTCAATTTGATTTTGAATGGAAATAAGTAACAAAATAGTGTTACTTACTTCGATTTCAGCGAGGCGGGGTGGCAGATCGGCATCGGACTCATCGCCGTGCTTTGTCCAGCAGTGCTTGATGACCTTGAGAATTGAGACCTTCTTCTTCTCAGGCCCCGACTACAATTTGGAAAAAAGGCTTAAGATCCATAATTAATTGTTAAAATAAAGGGTTGTAATTGTGTAAAGTTTTTTGAAAAATACTTACAAGATCTTCTTTATGTCTACTCTGAGGTTTGCGGCCCCCATGCCATTGGGTTTCTAAGGCTTTCTCGGACATCCGGTTTTTCTTACCGGATTGACTTCTTGCCAAGAAGTTTGGATCAGAAGACCAGTGACGGACGAGGTTAGCCCACACCTCATCCGAACACCATCCAGGCTTTACCCCGCTCGTTCGGGCACGCCTAAAAGTAGGACGAAGCCAATTTGAAATCCTAGCGTTATACGCTCTAAGAATAGCTGGACCTTGGGCTTCAGTCCATCGAAACCGACCCTTTATAAAAAAACAAATAAATTAATTTATCTTTTATCAAATGTTACGTTAATACAATTACGCAGAGAAAATTCATTTTTTTACCTTGAAAAGGTTCCACCAAAGTTCACGAACCTTGGGGTCTACTTCTGTGTATGCTGCCCAGTTTCCAAGAAAGTGTCCCCCAATTATGACTTTGATTTGGTCCAACACTTCTTGATCGCTTCAGAAAATTAATATTATTTATTTATAAAAGTTTTGATTACATTATGATACATTGAAAAAATTATTTCACGTTAGATAAAATTCATAGTTACTTACTTCGCAACCATGTGGGGCGTCACCCAAAGCGCATTTTCATTGTTGCGCTCAGCTTCGGTTAAGGGCACATAGTTTGGGCGGGTACGCGAGGTTGATTGTTCATTGCTCATCTAAAATATATTAATTTATATTTTTAAATGTTAGTCTAATCATTATAGAAGATCAAATTTTTATACATTTATCAATTGAAAATGTGTAAAACATATTAAACTGTGTGTAAGTTTAATATGAGGGGTAGTAATTTTATAAATTGTTATAAAATGTAACATGTTAAACTTTAGGCAAGTTTAAAATTTTTTTTATTAAACTGTTTTTTATCAAACTGTTTTTCATTAAACTGTTTAATCTCTGGAGGGACGTAACGAGACGAACCTACCGTTTGTGGTATAACAGATGGATCCAAAGGTTCGCCGTGAGAAGTCCAATTATAATAATTGGGAACAAAACCGACCGCGTACAAATCATACCCAACTTCGTGTGGGTCTTTAAATTTGAGATTTCTACACTTTGAACATGGACATCTTATTTTATCACCACTCATATAAGCCGGATGTTCAAGTGCAAATTCAATAAATTCCCCAACTCCCTCGAGAAAATTTGATTGCATTCCGTACAATACCGCATCTTTATCATACATCCAACTTCTATTTTGTTTATACATTATGCCTGAATATTATAATAAAAAAGTATACACGTTCAAATACTAACAATAATACTAACAAATTTTAAGTGAGTTATTTCACTAAATAATCAACTAACTAATTTTCACTAAATTAAATGAAATGCACACAATTCACAACAATAATTCACAAAATATAAGTAATTACCTAATACTTAAATTTAACTAATATTACAAAAAATTTAAGTAATTTATTAACACTACATTTAAATTAAACATACGTTTAACTAAATTTAACTAATTCATTTAGTTAAATTTAACTAAATTTAACTAGTTCATTCCGTCCTCTTTTAATGCATCACTACGTTTAAACCTACGTTTAGCTAACTAATATAACATAATTAA